ACATTTAAAAAAATGACTCAAGATGAGCCCTAACCGGTGTGGCTCAGTGGATAGATTGTCGGCCCCTCGGACCGAAGGGTCTCAGGTTGGATTCTGGTCAAGGGCATGTACCTTGATTGATCAATGTTTCTATCTCTCTAACCTAGCGGTTCTCAACCTGTGGGTCGCGACCCCTTTGGCGGTCGAACGACCCTTCCACAGGGGTCGCCTAAGACCATCCTGCATATCAGATATTTACATGACGATTCATAAACGTAGCAACATGACAGTGATGAAGTAGCAACAAAAATAATTTTATGGGTCACAACATGAGGAACTGTATTTAAAGGGCCAGAAGGTTGAGAACCACTGCGTCTAACCCTCTCCCTTCCTCTCTCTAAAATCAATACAAATATATTTTTTTTAAAAATCACTCAAGCTTACATGAGGCAAATGGATTGTAAAAAAAAAAAAAGTGGGTAGCAGCACAATTTAAAAAAATAGTAATACCATAGAAAAGAGCACAACACAGTCACTCTCTTGCTGATGGTTGAAACGCATTCTGTTTTGCTCCAAATTAATGCACCTGGTTCCTGTTATGATCTAAATTCTAAACGGAATGCAAGCTGATATGACTCACGTGGTGATTTTGAAAGTTGAGCACAGAACATCCCAGGCGACGGCAAATCTGAAAACAGTTCTGGGTCTGTTGGATGGTGACCCCAATACCTAATCTACACTGGAGGTGACGGCGGCGCTCAGGGAAGCAGGTGGTAGAGTGGGAAAAAAACACTCTGATTTCATTTACTTATTTTTAATATATATTTTTATTGATGTCAGAGAGGAAGGGAGAGGGAGACATAGAAACAGCAATGATGAGAGAGAATCATGGATCGGCTGCCTCCTGCACGCCCCACACTGGGGATGGAGCCCGCAACCCGGGCATGTGTCCTGACTGGGAATCAAACCCCAACCTCCCGGTTCATAGGTTGATGCTCAACCACAGAGCCACGCCGGCCGGGTGGAAAAGCTGATTTTAAATAAAAGACTTGGCTAACGTGTGTGTATTTCCTTCTTCTCCAAGTTTCCATCTCTCGTGTCTTCACTCCTCCTGTTTCCCACAAGAAAAGCTGGTTTGCGGAATCTTGGTTCCCTGCCCTCCCCCCCTCAACCTCGCACTCCTGTCCTGAGCTCTGCCATAAAGTGGATTAATCAAATAAAAGCCTGTTTCCTGGCTGACGGAGGGCCGCGGAGGTCTCTCCTTTTTGGAAGGTAATGATACTATGAATAATAGCTTGAAAATAAGAATAAGTTCATGATTATCTAGCACTTGCTGGAGGCCAGGCACTGTTTATAAATTAGCCAGTTAATCCTCCACAGAGGCTACTGTCTTACAGATGGGGGAACTGAGGCATTGAGTGTTTATACAACTTTTTTTATTTGTACTGATTTTAGAGAGGAAGGAAGAGAGAGAGAGAGAGAGAAACATCAGTGAGGAGGGAGAAGCATGAATCGGCTGCCTCCAGCACGCCCCCTACTGGGGACTGAGCCGGCAACCCAGGCATGTGCCCTTGACCGGGAATGGAACCATGACCTCCTGGTTCCTAGGTCGACCCTCCGGCTAACGTGTGTGTAATTCCCTCCTCTCAAAGTTTGGGCTGGGCTGAGGATACAAGTTTTCAAGGACAGGGCTAGTCAGGAGCGGAGTTGAAATCTGAACCCAGTTAGAGAAATATTCAGCCTGAATCAAGGGTAGATCCTAAAAGGAAGGCACCCTTGGGAGCGGTTTCATACATCTTCCTGCTGAAATAAGGCGCCTAAGGACACGCCGGACGTACAAGGAGAGAGGATTAAAATAGCCTAATTGATGCAGAAAGAAAAAGGACTGGGGTGAGCCAGAACTTTGCAAACACAGTGAAGGACCTGTTTCGTTGACCTCTAAAAAGCTGACCTTTAATGTTTAAGCCTTAAACTTGACCTGATTATTGTATCCTTTCCTTTCCTTTGGATCTTCTCCAGAGGTTCCCAGCATGGTTTCCGGATTCCTTAAAGGATGAGAGGGGAAGTGATGGGTGACAGAGCAGCACTTGAGGGCTGTGAATGGGCTTAGAATTTGCCTCCTTAAGATGATCCTATCCTATATAATAAAAGCCTAATATGCAAATTGACCGAACGGCGGAATGACCGGTGGAACAACCGGCCACTATGATGCGCACTGACCACCAGGCGGCAGACGCTCAATGCAGGAGCTTCCCCCAGGCCAGGCAAGGCATGTATGGGGGGGGGGGTGCAACTGCCCCACTGGTCGCCCCACAGATTGGCCCTGATTGCCGGCCAGGCCTAGGGACCCTCTAAAATTAATACAAGGAATGAGTGGGCCAAATTTTCCCACCAACCCCAGAAAAACATGAAAAGGGTAAAAGCCAGAGTTCCCGCACACGAACAGCAGAGGAATCATTCTCAAATCAGTAAGCGGATGCCTGGTCCCAGTGAGGTAAGTAAAGGCATCGGCCCTCGCTGAGCCAGGTTCCTGAGAAATGAGAATTTTAACGTCCTTTTTTTTTTTTTTTTTCAGATTTCACGGCTGTGAACAGTGAAGGAAACTCTCAATGTATAGCCTTTTGGAAACATAACGCATCGTGCAAATGTAGGTGCAGGGGGCAGATGATCAGGTCTTTTGTCGGGACTGATTATAAAACGGTCACTTCAGAATCAAAAGGACATGTGACAGCATGGAGGGACCTGGACAGCATCATGCTGAGAGAAATAAGCCAGTCAGAGAAAGCTAAGTATCGCATGATCTCACTCAGGTGGAAGCTAATGAACAAAATGAACTGATGAACAAAATAGAACCAGAGACACAGACGCACGGAGCAGACTGACTTATTTCAGAGGGAAGGAGGGGGGTGGGGGACAGACCATAGGGTGGGGAAGGCCTGGGAGGGGCGGGTGCAGGGTAGAGGGGGGTCATTGGGGAAAAACATACAAACCAACCAAGGGGACATCTGTAATACTTTCAACAATTAGGGGAAAAAATGAATCAATAAATAGAAAGTGAAGAATTAGAACAACCAAAAAACACAAATAAAAGAACATGTGATTTTAAGAAATTGGTATTTGGCTTGATAACCTTAGCAATAACTTCACTTCTTTTTTTTTAAAATATATTTTATTGATTTTTTACAGAGAGGAAGGGAGAGGGATAGAGAGTTAGAAACATGGATGAGAGAGAAACATTGATCAGCTGCCCCCTGCACACCCCTACTGGGGATGTGCCCGAAACCGAGGTACATGCCCTTGGCCGGAATCGAACCTGGGACCCTTCAGTCCGCAGGCCGACGCTCTATCCACTGAGCCAAACCGGTCAGGGCAGTAACTTCACTTCTCATGTTCTGAACAGCAGTTCCCATTCAGGACCTCTCGGTAATGCACCCGTTCCTTTAAGCATTGGTTAGCCACAATATACTAAGAAGTTAAAGTGGATGCAGTTTTTCAAATGTAGGATGTGACTTCAATTAAATGTGCTTATTTGTTCATTAATTTATTCAAGGCTAAAACAGTGCCCTGGTGAGTCCATTCCCACAAGTCACTCTTGGAATATGCTAGCGACCAGGTATTGCATCCGGTGGTTTGAACTGAGAATTGAGAGAGTCAGTTGGGCTGAGAAATCCTAGATCAGCCGTGGGCAAACTACGGCCCACGGGCCGAATGCGGCCCGTTTGAAATGAATAAAACTAAAAAAAAAAAAAAGACCGTACCCTTTTATGTAATGATGTTTACTTGAAATTTATATTAGTTCACACAAACACTCCATCCATGCTTTTGTTCCGGCCCTCTGGTCCAGTTTAAGAACCCATTGTGGCCCTCGAGTCAAAAAGTTTGCCCACCCCTGTCCTAGATCCTCCTGCAACCTAAGCAGAGACATTGTTGTCCAGCTGGTAAAATACATTTAAAACAGAAATACGGCCCAGCCGGCGTGGCTCAGTGGTTGAGCGTCGACCTGGGAACCAGGAGGTCATGGTTCGATTCCCGCTCAGGGCACATGCCTGGGTTGTGGGCTCCATCCCCAGTATGGGGCGTGCAGGAGGCAGCCGATCTGTGATTCTCTCTCATCATGGATGTTTCCAGTTCTCTCTCCCTCTCCTTCTCCTACTCCCTCTCCCTCCCTCCCTGAAATCAGTAAGAATGTCTATTTTAAAACAGAAGTATGTTCAGGAAGGCTTTGCAAGCTCTGCTTTTTGCTCCCCCGTCCAGGGCATCAGCGGGAGGTACAACACTGGAACCTGACAAATAGCACAGCAACCTGTGAGTACCATGTGTTACCACCGTCACTTTTATTACAACAGCTGGGAGCGGGCCAAAGCTTTACCGAGAAACCAGAAAGCAACAGCAGGGGACTCCACAGGCTCAGAAAAACATTTGTTGGCCTAACCAGAAGCTTCTGTAATGAGAACCCAACACCTCACACTTAACACAAAAGCACAGCCCAGGCCGTCACAGAATGTACAGCCTGCCAGAATGTGTTCCGTGACAATGACGGAAATACAATGGCATAGCACATTCGGTATACTTAACAGCCGGAGAAACAGTGCAATCAGCCAGGCCGGCGTGGCTCAGTGGTGGAGCATCGACCTAGGAACCAGGAGGTCAAGGATTCCCGGTCACGGCACATGCCCGGGTTGCAGGCTCCATCCTCAGTGTGGGCCGTGCAGGAGGCAGCCGATCCATGATTCTCTTTCATCATTGATGTTTCTCTTTCTCTCTCTCCCTCTCCCTTCCTCTCTGAAATCAATAAAAATGTATTTTTTAAAAATAGTGAGAAAAATTAAGCCTCAGAGAGTCAATGGGCTTACCACAATTCCCACAGCCTGGTAGGGTGAGCTAGAACTCTGGCCCTCTGAGCCCCTTTGTAATAACTCTTTCTAGTACACCAACATGCGATGGAAAAATACTAAGAGCCTTTCTTTAAAGCTTGCGTATCGGTCTTTACCCTCTTCAGAAGAAAATCTATTTTCCTTTAACAGCCTCAGCGGACACTATTCCATGGAAAGAGCTGCCACGGGTTTGGCATAACTTTCCAAAAACCACAGCCATTCGTAAATTCCGTGTTAGAAACACGGAAGGGTCGTGTTCTTTTCTCCATCACAGAAGCAGTAACATGCGAGCACATGTTCACGCAGCCACACGGCTGCCCCACATAAAAGGAGACATTGCACTGACCGTAGTCCGTGTTTTCCGGCTCCCAGCAATTGGATGGCCAGAAGTAGGGGGTCTGTGGGGTGACAAGAAGCGGGAACCCAGGTTAGACACGGAAGTAATGACCAGAGTAACTGGTTAATGAGCGGCGTTTATATTTAGCAGTTCTCTAGATTCTAGAATAGTCCAGTGAAGATACGTTTATAAACCAGGGAGGCGATGGAAGGTTTTTCTTCTACATTTACTCTGCGGAGCCATGATTCAGCCCCCAAAATATCCCCCATTTGCTGCAATTTTATGTCAACCGACATCAAACGTGTGCATCCCACAAAGACTCACAGCAGAGGATGACTTGGGATAAAACGCGTTTAAATATCACAAATTGTTTCCTATGACTCAGGTACCTCAACACGGCCATCGGCAGACCCCAAGCTCCACCCGGAGTCAAACTCTCTCCCTGCAGTCTGGCCATCATTGGCCTGGGTTTGATTCATTATATACGACAGCTCTTCACTTTATCCAACCGGATGAAAACCACTCCCCCCCTCACTTTAAAAAACATTTCTTAATACAGACATGCATTGCTCTACATTTTTAAACTGCACCCACCAGAGATCATGTTTTTAACTTATAATATCTTGTTTTTAACTTATAATATCTTAGTTGATTGATATGATTAACAGACAGAAGTCTGATTCTGTGAAATTCTAGAAACAAACTGATGAAACTACAAAGACAATGTCTGTTCAGAAGGACCCTTTGTCATGGTTAACACTATATTTTCTAAAAGGGCTTTTCTAGCTCTGCTAGCTGGACATGCTTGGCTCCAGACCATGAGAAAAATCAATGACTATGTCTATCAAACTCTGTTTTCTCGGATGATGGTTACTCCAGGACCCAACGGAACAGTGACTGTGGACATCAGCCTTGTGGTCTTATTTATTGGTCATCTAGAGGCCTGGTGCACAGATTTGTGCACCGGTGGGGTCCCTTGGCCTCACCTGCGGGGATCGGGCCAAAACCAGCTGACATTCTCCAAGGGGTCCCAGATTGTGAGAGGGCACAGGCCAGGCCGAGGGACCCCACGGGTGCACGACCAGGGCAGGGGAGGGACCGCGGGAGGGCTCCAGGGCATGCCTGGCTCATCTCGCCCAGTCTTAATCGCCGGACCCCAGCAGCAAGCTAAACTACCAGTCAGAGCGTCTGCCACCTGGTGGTCAGCGTGCATCACAGCGACTGGTCGAATGGTCGAACACATAGCATATTAGGCTTTTATGATGTAGGATTACATTAACTACCCATGTGTAACCAGCACATGTGTGCCATCTCTGATTGCCTCTCTGATAATTCTACCTTTCACAGAATTATCATAATATGTAGAGGCATCTCCAGGAGGGGAGTGTTGGGGAGAACTGTGTGTTTTGGGGGAGAGCATCCCAAGCTGTTCAGGACTCCCCGGGGTTTTCTGATTTCCTCCCGGCTCCTTGGCAATTGCTGCGATATGATAGAGAACGCTCCTGATAAAGAGTGTTGTACACGTGAGGACAAAGGGGCCGCGGAAATTTAGGAGGGAACAGGTTGAACCATCAGACACAGAGGACAGGAAGGCTTTACACGGGCCCCTCCTCATCGGAATCCCACTTGACTCTGTGGGGGATGCGTTTTGAGGATTTAATTTCTTAGAAATGCAACTGGGTAAAGGTTCTGGGGACACCGTTGGAGACAAAAGTAATGAAAATCTTGCTTTCATGTGGGTTTTGAGTCACTTCTCTTAGAGTTCATTATTCCCTTCCGGTTGTTTCTTTATTTGGGGAGGTGTGTGTGTGTGTGTGTGTGTGTGTGTGTGTGTACGTACACAATACCTATTCAACTTTTAAAGCACCTATTCTAGCTAGATCGGCCAGATATATTCTTTTATTTTTTGCAAACCACAAGTCTTCTTGCTGCCTTCTTCCAATTTTTCTTTATTCTTTTATCATTAAAAACTTCCTGAATATAAAAATGAAACTATTCTATTCTCTAATATTATGTGGCAATGTCATAAAAGCAGCCTTCTTCACTAATATTGTAAGATTTTTTCCTAGGAAAATTTTTTTTATTTATAGTAAAAGGCAATTGAATAACTAGCAAACCCTTGTAGTTTGCTAGAATTTAAAAAATATGCTTTTACAGTCTGCATAGACGTTAGGGCATTTTCATGTGTGAGTGTTGGCTTCTTTAGCTATGATAAAACCGATCCAAAACTGTCCAGCCATTTCTCAATAATCTTTGGCACATTTTTAATGTAGTGACAGTCATAAAAGAGGCCGGGAAAATCATGTCAGATCTCAATTCCAATTAGCGACGAGATGAAAATTAGACAACTGCAAGTTTACATTAATACAAAATGACATGATTAAAAATGTACTAAAAATTGAGACAGATTTACATATTGTTGCATGCCAATGAAATGAAGGGTTCTGTTTGCCTCAAACTCATGCCCTGAAGCTTTTTTCAGATTTGTAATGATGGCTAGAATCTCAATCATTCAGTGGAACAATTGTAAACATGATATTACAAGTTTTCCATTTTAATTCATGATTTTTAAAATCCTTCCACGGAGCTGAATTTCAGTTCAGTGTAATACAGAACCTTCTGCTTCCTGAAGCCAGCCCCCAACATGGAAGTGAACACCTGGACTGACCAATGTCTTGGTAGATACCATAGTAGGGATTCAGTTTTTCCTGGCTTTTCTGTCGTTTTTGTCTTTTAAAATCTGGGTTTTAAGATTCTATGATTATTAGATTTACAAATGCTTAGATCCTATTTCAAATGTGGATGGCCATTAAAATTGTTACCATTTAATATTTAATACTAGAGGCCCGGTGCACGAATTCGTGCATGGGTGGCGTCCGGCCGGCCCTGCCCCCAATCCGGGTGGGGGTGGGGTCGATTGGGGGCGGGGCCGGCCAGGGGAGGGGTCACAAGTGGTTGGCGGGCCGGACCCACCCCCTGGTCAAACTCCTGGTCGAGGGCACCCAGGAATAGAGGGTCGAATAATTAGCTAAATTATACCCTGGAACTACAACCATTCCATGAAAGTTTGCTTGGACTGGAGATCATTCTGTATCACAGGTGGGGGCCAGAGTATCATAAATTTGGAAGCTAAAGTGTAACTCACGGATAAAGAACTCTCCTATCTTCCTGAATCCCATCATGTTCCTCTCTGGATATCTCTCAAGCCTTTGATATCAAATATAACTTTAGTCACCATAGAATTTAGCTTTCACAAATCATCTAAACCAGCGGTTCTCAACCTGTGGGTCAAGACCCCTTTGGCGGTCGAACGGCCTTTTCACAGGGGTCGCCTAAGACCATCCTGCATATCAGATATTTACATGACGATTCCTAACAGTAGCAACATGACAGTGATGAAGTAGCCACGAAAATAATTTTATGGTTGGGTCACAGCATGAGGAACTGTATTGAAAGGGCCAGAAGGCTGAGAACCACTGATCTAAACTAAGCTCAAGCCCTCTTTCTTCGTTTAATATTCTTATGTCTTAAATTTAACAGACTGTTGCTAACTAGCCTACGTTAAATAAGTTATAATTTTCAAATTTCCTGTCAAAACAATTAACAAACAAAATAAGATGTCTGTTTTACTGTCAAAGAATATCTTCCTTAAACTTACTTGGAACCGGTAGAAGGTGCCATCATCCTTGAGGGTGAGGACGTGATCTGAGATTGGGAAGAAGTAGCCGTGGGCAGCCATCAACGTTCCCAAATGGAGGGCCTCCACTGTTGCACGGAAACAAACAAAAAGGCGTGAAAACCTGTTTAAATGACTGATGTACAGAAGTGTAGGGCTCTGTCATGGTTCCTTTTGTTGTTGTTAATCCTCCCCCACGGTCATTTTTCCACTGATTTTCAGAGAGTGGAAGGGCGGGGGGTGGGGGGGGGGGTGGACAGAGAGAGAAACATCGATGTGAGAGAGACACTTCGTCATGTTTCCTGTGAGCACAGTCTCGCACCCAGAAAACCTCGCTTTGTACCTTTTCGTCTTCGTTCAGCTCATTCCCAGGAGGAAGGAGGACAGATCTGGTTGCTGGCAGTGACCGTGCAGGGGTGAGCCCCACCCCGTGAAGACAAGAACACAACACAGAGGTATGGAATACTGAAACGCAGAGAGGATTCCGAAATCTCAGACTCTGACTCCTTCATTTTATAGATGGGGCGTGTTTTGCTATATGTTCATGTGGATCCACACACCCACAAACAATTCTATTTGCATGTATATAGCACTTTAGACTTTTATTTATTTCTTTGTTTTTTTGTTTGTTTTAAATATATATTTTACTGATTTCAGAGAGGAAGGGGGAGAGAGAGAGAAACATCAATGATGAGAGAGAACCATTGATCAGCTGCCTCCTGCACGCCCCCCTACTAGGGATTAAGCCCGCAACTGGGTCATGTGCCCTGACCGGGAATCGAACTGTGACCTCCTGGTTCCTAGGTTGATGCTCAACCACTGAGCCACACCAGCTGGGCAGCACTTTAAACTTTTAAAAGTGCTCCCACTTGCATCACCCCCTGGCTGATATCATAAATATCAAATACTATCAGTGATCGTTCTAATGGATCACTAACGGTGACTTTAGCAGGGAATGTTAAACCACTTACGCTATGCTAAGTGAGCCTACAGTCCTGTGAGTATTCAAACTGCTCTAGCTTTTACTATATACGGTATTTTATTTACATAGTATTCTAGATATGGACAAGGATGAGGCTTATTTGACAATGAAAACATTGTATTTTCCCAACAGGCTGGAAAACAGAACATAATACTGCAACTGTCATACTGTCTACAGCAGCCAACAACTGCTTCCAACAAAGGATTAATCCAATTTGATTAGGAGAGATATCGCTGTATTTGTGCAGGGATGACATAAGTTTGCTAACTTGACGTCTGGGCAATATGAAACTGTGCAAAATAAATTTTTTATTCTAACAAGTGTACATGTACATAGAAAATACAAAAGAGTGAGATTCCTTTATGTTTGTGTATATTTATATGCAATTTATTTATGGATTTATTTATGTTTCTTAGACAAGTAGTAGCTAATATGGTTCTTTAGCTCAAGGATTTTCATAGTAGTTCCAGAAATGTGAAATCCAGAAAAAAAATTTTTTTTTTAAAAAAAGCAAGTGAGGTTAACGGATTAAAAAGTCTTTCATGGTTTATTCCTGTTGATGGTACTGCCTCAGTGACCAAAAATTTATTCGGCTGCCATTGCACATCTGCTGGCAAATTAGGCATATTTATCAAATTTGGGGGCACGGTGGAGAGCTGGGAAGCAATGAATAATACAGTGGGTGCATGTTTATAAAAAATGCAAGGCCAGGTGAATGTACCTACTGTGGAAGGACAAGATATTCTCCTTCCGTCCCACACCTGGCTGAGTCGAAATAGCTCAGAAGAGCGAGGCAGGGTGTGGTGTGACCCAAACCTCCACCATCTTTGTCTTACCCAGTGGTTCTCAACCTTCTGGCCTTTTACATACAGCTCCTCATGTGGTGACCCAACCATAACATTATTTTCGTGGCTACTTCATCACTGTCATGTTGCTACTGTGATGAATCGTCATGTAAATATCTGATATGCAGGATGGTCTGAGGCGACCCCTGTGAAAGGGTCGTTCGACCGCCAAAGGGGTCGCGACCCACAGGTTGAGAACCGCTGGTCTTACCTCCTACTATTTGCCAACAGTATTCCCAAAAAGCTGACCTACTCAGTTTGCCTGAACTTTCAGAAAATAAGTGTCTGCACCTGCTACTTTTCTAAGCTGGAAGCCAGAGCCCTGCCCTTGAATCCTGTTCAACCAGAGAGGGTAATCGGCAGGGTGTCCGGATGCCTGTTAATGGCTTGAAAATGTTTGGAACTCTCCCAGAAAGGAAAAAGCATCACCTACAGGTGTTATTTCACTTAATATGCTATTATTTTAGGCCCCGAGATACATTTCCAGCCGATGAATTTATCTTTCTCTGAGACTCTGGCTATGTCCTGGCTGTGCTTGGCTGGGTTCCAGCGTGAGCTTATTTCAACCGATATATCACGGTTTGTCTCCAATAGGAGTTTCTTTTTGCTTATAAACGCTTTTTTCCCCCAGAATAAAAGCAACTTTCTTGGGCTGTTGCAGAACATTGAGAGCATTTCCCTGCAGCTGATTAGCATCCATCGTGGCCTTTACTTAGAGAAAAACGAATAATCTGGAACCTATGGGTGAGTAACCCTGGGAGGTTTCATCTTCTCTTCGACAGCGAAACCCTTTCTGTGCCATGAGGGTCATGGGAACCTAGGAAGGATTTTTCCCAGAGCAAATCCCACAATAAAGTCCCACTAGTCTCTTTCTTTCTTTTTTTAAAAAATATATTTTATTGATTTTTTACAGAGAGGAAGGGAGAGGGATAGAGAGTTAGAAACATCGATGAGAGAGAAACATTGACCAGCTGCCTCCTGCACACCCCCTACTGGGGATGTGCCCGCAACCAAGGTACATGCCCTTGACCGGAATTGAACCTGGGACCCCTCAGTCCACAGGCCGATGCTCTATCCACTGAGCCAAACCAGTTAGGGCTTCTTTCTTTCTTTAAAAAAATATTTTTATAGATTCAGAGAGGAAGGGAGAGGGAAAGAGAAAGAGATAGAAACATCAGTGATGAGAGAGAATCATGGATCGGCTGCCTCCTGTGCACCCCCTACTGGGGATCGAGCCTGCAACCTGGGCACGTGCTCTGACCAGGAATCAAACCATGACCTTCTGGTTCATAGGTCGATGCTCAACCACTGAGCCATGCTGGCCCGGCTCCTCTCTTATTTTTAAATATTTTCAGAGAATTTACAGGGTTCCAATTAGACCTGGCCTTCTAATAATGGTTTAATCTCTCTTTAGGAACAGTTTCAAATGGTATGATTCGTTTCACCCATGCAACCATGAAAGGA